TGTGGAGCGAGGCCACTGGGGGGGGGGGGGGGGGGGCGGTGCTGAAATCCTTGTCCACTGGCAGCCACTTGTGCTGCTCTGACAAAGCAAGGAGGGTGCAGAGCTGCTGCTGAGATAGCTGGGAAGCTGCCTGGAGCCAGAGAGCTGCCATGCAGCACTGCAGCACCCCATATCTGGCACCCTGCTGCCAACACGCACTTCTGGGTTGGGCCTGATGGAAGGGAGCAGCCGGAGTGCTTCTCGGTCCCCAGCGAGCCTCTTAGGGGCTTTGACCTGTTCAGGACGTGTTTCTCTCCCACCCATCATCCTCCATCTCCCCTCCACGCAGCTGACATCTCAGGGAGACCCAGGGATCAAGCCAGGGACTTAATTCTAGGGATGTGGGGAGATGCGAAGTCCCCACCTCTATAAGAACAGCATCACTCACAAAGATTCTCTTCAGGCCTGAGAGGAGTAGCAACAGGATGGTTTTGAGCACATTTTAAGGATGCTCAACCCCCTCTTGTTTTCAGTATTTCAGTAATTTAATTGTTTTCACTTCAGATCATGGAGCAGAGCCCTTAGAAAGAACCTGCATCCTCAGTCTGCTGTCAGCAAATCACTTGGTGCCATGGCCTGCTCCCTCCCCTTGCTGTGGTATTCTCAGAAAACACCCTGCCCTGGCTCCACCTTGATGAAGTGCTGCATACCCTGAAGTGCTTGTCACTAAAGTGTTCTCAAAATCAGAACTTGATGGAGAAAAAACAAACTTCAGGTCATAAATGAATGTCTCCTGCTCTGGCAGTGTGGAGAAAGCATCTTTGAGAAGAACCATGAATTCCATAGTCAATCACTGCCTGCCACCCAGAAAGTCTTCCCAGGCCCTCATGAAGGCCATGGCTGTGTGGAATCATTCACTGGTATTTATGGCAGCCAAGTGCTCCTATGTGGACAGGGAGATACTAGTGGAACGGCACAACCATGCCAAGTGATTATTTCAGTTCTGCCACCCCTGTGAAAGCAGCTGCCCTGGCATCAAAGCAGCTTCTGCAGGAAAATAGTGGTCACACAGAGGACACCTGCCCGTGCAGGATCAGCAAATGCGAAGCTTCTAACAGGGCACTGCTCTTCAAAGCCACAATGCAGATGCAGCCAGTTCCACCACATAATGGGATATTCACTCTCTAATATGGTTTCCTGGGCTGTCCTCCTTGGTGGAGGGTCCTTCTCCAGGCACAGCTGTCACTGGGTTAGCACCCCTGCCTGCTGGGAGGTAGCAGCCCTGCAGCGCTGGCAGTGGGAGAGCTCGTGTGGGATTCCTCCAGTCAGCTATATCCCAGGATGGGACACATCATTTTGACTTCCAGCAGCGCAGAGAGGACTCACTGAAGCAGCACCACTGGCAGACGAGAGGACAGCTGTACCTGGGAGGAGGTGATGAGCAGCTGGGGAGGTGGCTGGCTATAAACTCTTCCACCCATGCAGCCCTGCAGAGCACGCCTCTGTTCAGCACTTTGGGGACTGAACTAGGGCAATGCTGATCAGCTTGCACTAGCACAGAGTAACTTGAAGGCAGTTCCGCAAATAAAATAGGGGCGATATCCAACTACCTGGAAAACCTATAGCTACAGTCAGATTTTTACCAGCAGAGCTGCCCAAGTCCTGACTCTAGCCAGGCTTTAAATCTATTATACTAGCCAGACTCTCACAGTAGTCAATAGCAGATACTTAAGGAAGATATAAGAATAAGCCTATAGCAATGTTCTTCTAGCCTACTAAGAGGCTGGAGGATATCCTGAGTCTGGCTCATGTTTCTACATCTGATAAGCCCTCCATGAATTTTTCTCACATTAATTTGCCCCGTTGCTTCCTGAATCCATGTAAACTTTTGGCATCTACAGCATCCTGTGGCAACGAGTTCCACAGCTCAGCTATTCACTGTGCGAACAAAATACCATTCTTGTCTGCTCTGAAGTTAACATCTGCTGGTTTCATTTCCTGCCTCTAATTTTTGCACTGGAAGAGATAGTTATTAAATATTCACCATCTTTGTCCCACTTACGACTTTGCTGCTCTCCATCATTCCCTGCCTCGGTGTCTCCTTTCCAGACTGAAGAGCTGGGCTGGTAAGCTGGCCTATCTAGAAGCTGGACTCATTGTCTCTTCATGCTCACAATATTTTCAGTAGGATGTCCATGGACATTTCCCCAAAGTAATGATGTCTAAGGGTCTGTTTGCACAAGGGTTTTAAGCAAATCTAAATACGTGCTGTTGCCAATAGGAGCAATCCCACCCTGCTTTCTGTCCTTGGCTATGTGTTCTCACACCTTCCCTCGCTCACAGCAGGAGTGACCATGCAGTTGCTTGGTCAGCTGGATCACTCATTTTTTTTCTCCAGATCAGATCCTGAATGCCCAAGTTCTGTGGCCAGAACAAGAAATAGGGCAAGGACAGGAAGGCAGGTTATGGGGAGGAGAAGGGCAGAGGCAGCATAGGCTTACATCAGCTTAAAGCAATCGTGAAACCAAACTTTAAGTCACATCATAGCAAAGTAGAGAAAAGTGCTATTAATTCCTTGCTGACAGCTGGGAACAGACTATCATTCATAGGGAGACTTAACAGGTTTGTGGATTAACATAATGAGAATTATCAAGAGTCAGCTATAATTCTTTAAATGGGTCCTGTCAGCATGAAGACTGTATGTGTCTTTGTGTATTTGGGGAGAAGTGGGGGAGGAGAGCTTAAAATATGCTTCTTGGCTTCTTCTTGGTGAAAAACTGGAACTGAAAGCACTGTGGAAGTCTAATTTACTTTCCCTCACATGCACATGGCGTTTACTCTTTGTATTTCATGCACCTTGGCTAATGAAAACAGACTGACCAGCTTCTGTTCTTCAAATTCCACATTTCAGTTTTCATAGTGGGTGATCTGGGCTATAAATGCAATGGGAGGTTGGGGAAATAATTACTCAATTTTTTTTAGTGGATTGCCCTGAACTTTAAAGAAAATAATCTGCAAACATTAGTAACACTACTTCATATTTGAACAGTCTTTTGCATATGCAAAGTGCTGTGTATAAAGTATAAGGACATGAATAATCACTGCTAATTAGCATTATTCATAAAAAGCTGGGCCTGGCTCTCTGACTGGCAGAAAGTATGCCAAGTGGAGAGCAGGTGATGATACCCCAAGCCAGATACCGGTGCCACACACAGGGCAGGATCTCTCTGCAACGCTAAGAAGAACCCTGACTCACTCTCAAGCTTCTCTCCTGTGACTCCGGCACCTCCCACGCTTGCACGAGAGCATTGCTGTTCCTCTCCTGCTCATGGTATTGCAGGAGGGACACATATCTCCCACCCAGTAGGAGAGAGAGGCTGTAGTGCTGTGCGGTCTGTGAGGGATTGTTTCTGCTAGAGGCGTATTCCCAGTCCCATGCCGCATGCCTGGGAACAGAGAAAAGCATCGAGCACTACACTGGTCTGCCCTACAGAAAGACACTTAGTATGGTCCATGTACATCATCTATCCCTGTCAAGAATGTGTACTGGAGCCCCCTTTTTCTCCCTGGGTCATGCAGGATCACACAGCCACCATTTTACCTGGGCTGACAGTTTGGACTTAAGTGCCAGCAATAAGGAAGTTGTGCACATGTGCTGCAGTAGCACTGCCTCCAGAATGGGCCAGTGCCCAGGAAGATCAACTCCTTGATGAGAAATAGCTGACATCAAGCAGGAAAAGATCCAGGAATGTCTGTACTAGATCACATCAAAGGTCTGCTGGCCCAGTGTCCTGTCTGTCACGAGCTACATCTCTTGTAGTACACTAAATGTGTCTAGGAGCATTCCCAGGCTTTGAGAGCAGCTGGCATGGGACAGCTCATCTCTGGAACAGTAAACTCTGTCTTCCAGATAGGCAAATGGCCTCCTGTCACAGACAAAATTGTGCCAGGGACCATCCTAGCAGGTTACTAGTACAGTCATATCCCCATGCCAGGGAACATCCATGGGCGCTGGTTGTAGATGTGACCTTCACAGCCAACAATGCATGCCCATGAAAGAGCACAAGAACAGGGCAAGTATGGAGGGATGTGTCCCCAACGACCCTGCCAGGCCTCAGGAATATGCTGAGGCAGCTCCTGAGCCAGAAGAACTGCTGCTGTATGTAACAGCCCTTTCTAAGATTTTTTTTCCTTGAATTTACCCAATCAGTTCTGCAATCCCATGCAAACTTTTAGCTTCCACAGTGTCCTAAGGGAGGAGTTCCACAGCTTAACTATCAGGAAGAGCCCTGAAGGGAAAAGGAAAGTACCTGGAGCACTTAGCAGCTATGCAGCACTCTGAACAAGTGGCTGATTAGGAGCATCCCAAGTTCCTTGTTGCTTTAAAACTCTGTCCCTGCAGCAGCACAAAACAATTTACAATTCATGATCAGCTGAGAGTCTTCCTCCTGGCCTGGCCTCAGACATAAATACCGTTATGCGTTCGTAGCAATGCTACCAGCCTCCATTATTCAGGACAGAGCGGCATGTCTCTGCAGAAATACTGGCCACAGAAACACTCTGACCTGCCCTTCATTCCTCACTCTCACATGCAGGAGTAAGACAAGACAAGGAATCTTTCTCAAGGGCTCTTCAGGGGACCTAGTAGCCTGGCCACAGGATATCAAAACCATGAGATAACTCCTTGAGATTGGCGCCAGAGACCCTGGCCAAGTGTTTTGTCCTACAGATAAAATGGGAGTTTCCACTACATGAGCAGAACAAGAAATCACCATATACTTTTTCCCAAAAATGTGTTGACTTGCCTCTGCTAACATAGACACACAAAGGGCACATATAATTTATTTTTCAAACATGATTTTCTCCTTGAGGACACAAAATGGACTACGTGCCACAAAACTTATTAAAGTTAATTAATGCCTAGAAAACAGACACACAAAATAGAGATGAGGTCTGTTTTAGAACAGACCAAAACTTAGCACTAATAAAACAAGAAAAGAATGGAAAAAGAAGGGAATTCAGCATTTAAGTCCTGTAGAGACAAATACACAGAGGTGTATTTGAAAACTAGTAAAGGACTTATAGGAGAATAAAATGCAGTGACTAAATCAGGTCTTGTATTAAATATTTTGGTAGTCATGTAAAAAGATAGCTGTGATACAAAGTAAGCATGGTTAAGAACTAGAGATTGGTTTGTATGCAATTACTTTCCTTTTTTTTCCCCCCACAGGATATTTTAAGTTTCTAATGAGTAGCTACTTCCCACTCGCTGTCACCAAAACACCCTGAGAACATTGACTCCATCCCCTAATATCTTTGAACTATTGCCTCATTTTGGAGCTGAGAAAGTTTAACTAGAAACTTGCTCAAAATGACAGAGGAAGCTAATATAGAGCTGTGATCCAAATTCAAGAGCTCCCAGCTCCACAGTGTGCCAGTCTGTCATATTTATTTATTTTTTAGGTTTGCAGAATAGCAGTAGGATTTCAGAAATCTATATATGTTTTACAAATACACTGTTTGGGTCAACTTCCCCTGTGTCAATCTATAGTAATTACAAGAAAGTTGAACTTGAGCTATTGTTTCAACTATAAAAGTAAAATAAGCAAAATGTAATGCCCTAGCAGAAATAAACACAAATTTCCTCCTAAGAATATCCAGACTAGCAAGGACTTCATATGTATTGTGGCAAATCTGGAAACAAAACTCTCAAGAAGCAGATCTAAAAGACCTACAACCAAAGAGCTTTTAAACAAGCTCCAATTAAAATTATAGTATTAGCTTAGTATTTTTTCCTTTATTAATCTTTTCCTTGCCTTCTGTTTTTATAAGTGCTGTTTTCATGTGCTTTGCTGACATGTTACAAATTCATCGTTTCTCCCTCACTAATCAGGCAATGCAACATTCCCCCTGGAGCTTAAGGTCTGTGTGGCTGCTGTGGGTTAAGTGGAGGAAAGAAAGCAGGACGCGGTGCAGCGGGAGGGCATGAGTGCGCACGGTAGGTACATACTTTCTGCAGGAATGACACTCCCAGAGTCCTGGCCGGCCCCCACAAGCCTCACACTTAGCAGGCCAACCACTGAGATGAACGGGATCGCCACACGCATCACGCTCCAGACAGACAGCAACGCCATTACTCTTATCAATAATTCAAGCTTTCTTCCCTGCCTGAAACGAGGAGAAATAGTGAAAATCAGCAGTAAGCTCCCAGCATGCTCCCCACAAAGGAGTGGATGAGATGTGATAAGCACAGACCCACATGTACACGCAAACCCACACGCACACATCACTGCAGTGACACGCCACGGGCTTGCGATGCACCCCAAGGACCAGTTTGCCAAGTACCTGATCTTTCTCTTCGCCTGTGTGCCAGACCCTTGGAGCTGCTGTAGCGAGCAGGCGAGGCTCCAGCAGCCACTCTGAGCATGCGTCCCCCCTGCATCCCCCCTTCCCTGATTAGGGTCATTGCCATGGAGATTTGCTATAGCAACACTGAAAAATTGGAGCTGCCAAGTGGAGAAGAAGATTTAAAGGGACCACAATGTGGTGGATGGTCGCTGCTGTACTCCTCCTCTGTCTCTGCTCCTTGAAGGCCATGTCCTCTCCTTGGCGAACACTGGCTGCTGCCACCCATATGAGAGGGTCTTAAGCAATTTTTATGTTTGTTGCTTTTATTCCCGAAGGGACTGTGCTGAAATATGCAGCTCCCGTCCCTTGCTTTAGTTGTAACTCACTTAAAGTGAGATTTTGTTCCGGGATGTTCAAATGAGATGAAAACACAAAAGTTTGCTTGGAAAAATAAAGATGCAAGGCCTGCTGATGGAGCCCTGGCCTCTGGGGCAGACTCCATTCGGCTTCGTTTAACTACACTGAAAATGAAGCCTTGTGGACAACAGCAACATTGGCACATGAACCGACCAGGAATATGGATCCTGCACAGCATCACACTAGGTAATCGTGGTAACAGCCCAGCCAAAACCTACACACCGCAAAAGTTTAAGGATGCTCACTTCAAGCTCAGCTCTTGATCTGGGATTTTGCTAATAAGCTGTATCCTGACAAAGCTCAAGTATGAGCCCTGCTGGATAGGAGATCTCCATAAGGACCTGGCTGAAATCAAGCGTTCAGAAAGTGGAGGTGATACCTGTTGGAAAAGAGAGAGAGAGGGTCTCAATACCTGCTTGCCCCAGAGTGTGGTTAAAGACCAATCTTGCAACGTATCTGTTCAATTCATGGCTTTGTCCTTCTCTCAGGGGAGGACGCTCCACCTCCTTTCACTGGAGAGCAGGCTCCAGCCTTCCTGGTCTGTACAGAATAACTAATGTGCCAGGCTGAAGAGGCATCAGCCTTCCTGGGCTGAGACACAATTTATCCCTGGCTTTCTTCAGCCCTAGGGACCGTCACCAGCAATGTACTTTGCTTCTATTTTACTTGTTCCTGTGGCTTCCTCAGAATTACCTCTCACATCCCTCATTTCAATGCTTATGCTTTTGGACCAGGTTAGTTTAAAAGTCATCTCAAAGGGCTCCAGGCTCTTGACCACTTTCTGGCAAAGTGGAATTGCCTTGTGCATGCAAGAGAGGACTTTGCAGGGAGGGCAGCCCAGGGTAGTGGAAGCAATTCCTATAAGAATGACACGCTGAGCAAACTTTTATCCCAAAGTGCAACTGAAACTCAACTTCCCTTCCGTGGAAGGTCCAAATGAAGATCTCAGTCAATGGGGTCTTCATAAGGTGAGTCAGGGCACATGTGTGCATGAAGATGGCTCCACTGCCTTTATGAGAAACTGAGACTCCTAATCCAAGCTCTGAAGTTGGATGCCTGAAGTGAGGTCGTGTGAGATGGCCCAGTTTAACATTGTTTATCTCTTCACAGGCCTCAGATGCCTGTTAAAGGAACAGCTCTGTAAGATCCAGGATATAATGGAACAACGTTGTACACTTTGACTATACACTCATTTAGGTCTGGTGACATAGTCTAGCCTTGATCTGCAGTTTTAAATAACACCAAATGGAAATTCTGGCACAAAATCCAAACCTTACACTTCCATTCACCGTGGCATATGTGTTTCTTGAGCATACCCTCATTATGGTCCCATGGCCATATTATACTTTTCATACATGAGCTTCAAGAAAAGGACGGAAAGGAATTGCCTGCAGATGCAATAACCTTTGATAAGGTGGAAAGCACTGTTTGTTCTAATATTTTTTAAGGTATAGTCAATATAGTCTTTTCTAAAATTGTAACTATTTTGTAAAATCTTTTTCATAATTGCTTGGTCTTTTCAGTAGGTAGGTAGAACAAGCAGTACAACCCACAATGAGGTAAGGAAAGAAATTTGACATCTCAGGGAGGAAGGGCAACCACAGAAGTAAGCAGAGGTGTTACCCATCTTAAAAAACTGCAGAAAGTATACAAGGAGATCAGAGCAGAGAACTTGGGAAAATTTGGAATAAAGAGAAGCTGAGCATCCTGAAATATGTCATTCCCAGGATGCCAAACTCCAAGGATGCTTACACATGGTTTGGTGATATCTTGTTATTAGGGTCTATACATCATAGAATCATAGAATCATGGAATGGTTTGGGTTGGAAGGGACCTTTAAAGGTCATCTAGTCCAATCCTCCTGCAATGAGCAGGGACATCTTCAACTAGACCAGTTTGCTGACTAGGTTGCTCAGAGCCCCGTCCAGCCTGACCTTAAATGTTTCCAGGGATGGGGCATCCACCACCTCTCTGGGCAACCTGTGCCAGTGTTTCACCACCCTCAGCGTAAAAAATTTCTTCCTTATATCTAGTCTGAATCTACCCTCTTTTAGTTTAAAACCGTTACCCCTTGTCCTATCGCAACAGGCCCTGCTAAAAGGTCTGTCCCCATCTTTCTTATAAGTCCCCTTGAAGTATTGAAAGGCTGCAATGAGGTCTCCCCGGAGCCTTCTCTTCTCCAGGCTGAACAACCCCAACTCTCTCAGCCTGTCCTCATAGGAGAGGTGTCACAGCAACATTTTGCATAGTTGTATATGCATCCAATAAAGCTTCTCTGTGAGAGGATGGAGTCTTTGTCGGTTTCTGACTGCTCAACCACCCACTACCCCGACTTAACAATGTGATGGCACCACAGCAGGAGTCCTTGCTGAATTGGACTACTGCCATCCAGACAGTACAGCACCACTGAGCCTGCTCCCACTTGAGACAGTGAGGAGGATCTGCAGTAGGGCCCTCCCTATCCACCATCAAATGGGGTGGAAGGTGTTATTTCTGTGTTACAGCACACTGCTAAGCTTAAAATAATGACCTTTTTTTTTTAATTGTTTGGTGCCAGTGTAAAACAATCAGACATAGCACTTGCAGAGTCAGGCCAGTTTTTGCATCAAATGCCATGGTCTTTAAGAAGCATGAGAAAAGTTCCCAACTCCTCTTGCTAGCAGAACTAGGTCTGCTAGCAAGACCTAGGTCTGCTAGGTCCAAGATGCAGTTCTCAATTCACAGGGAACAGGAGCCAGTCTGCATGGAAAACTTCCAGAAATCTGTGTTGTTCTATCACCTCCAGCAAAGCTGCAGAAGAGAGAAGCATGAAAGCACTTGCATGACTTGCTTTGCTATTACATTCACTATTGCCTACCACTACAACTAAGGGATACCAGTACTAAATTTACTTTGAAGGATGAGAAAATTCCAAGAGATTCACAGGAGTCCGTTTGCTGTCTGAAGAATGTCATAGTGAATCCCAGAGGGCTGCCGGAAATATTTATACTTCATTTTCTTTTTCTACAGAGAATCCATACCTAATTATCATTTGCTAACAAAAGAAGAGTTTCCTCCAAAATAATCAGAAACATCCAGACATTTATTGGGAAGATGACTAGTGAGGATAGACATCTGGTAGCTCCCTCAGAAAATCTCTTACTGGTGCCTAAGTGTTACAGGTATTGCAAGTTAGTTATATCTTTGCAGTGGAGGAAGAAAATGTATATGCCTAGTTAAAATCACTAACATTAGAGGCCTGAGTTAAATGTGTGTGCATAAGAGGAAGGTGCAGGCAAAGGTTCTAATTTTAGAACTCCATTATTATAGTCATGGGTAGACATGGCAAATAGGGTGGTTAATCCCAGTCTAATATGAAGTGCTAAATCATTGCCTGCTAACATGGCCATAAGCCCTTTGTTGAACTGAAACAGAAGAAGAAAGCACAGAGACAGAAGAATCTGTGTCTGTTTACTATTACTTGAATAATAGAGTGGCAAGAGAATACAGGCACAACCCCAGAAAGACCAAGAAGCAAAACCAGATGCAAACAGTGAGAAACATGAAGAATAGCAAGAAAGCATTCTTTAAACACATGGGGAGTAAGGAAGACAAAAACCAAATGAAGAGTTTGTTCTCTGTTCAGCAGAAGGGGAAAGTTAATCAAGTTGATGCCTAGAAAGTGATACAGGGCTTAGCATCTATTTTCTCTACCAACCAAAATAAGGTGAACAAGTGAGCAGGAGGCTAACACAACTAATACCAGTGTACATGTTTTAGGCAAGAACATTTAGCAGAAATTTGTTTTGGTTACATATGCTTGTAGGTTTGTGCCAGGTCACTTTTCTGGGTTTCAATCTGCCTAGAGCTCTCCTTTTACTCAGGGCTGTCACTAGACCTACCTCTGGATATGTAAAGAAGAAACTAAAGCAACCACCGTCAGCAATTATTGCTGAGAGCTCAGGGAAGATGTGAGTTATACCAGCCATGGAAAAGAGTAAATGCAGTGACTGTCTTTAAAAGGGGGAAGAGAAACTGGAAAATGACACACAAACCAGTTTACCGTCAATCCCTGGGAATGTTTTAGAAGCAAAAATCCCACTGACAGTTTGTAAGCATTGGGAAAACAAGAAGTGGAGTTGCAAATAAGAGGTATTTGTCAAGAATCAAGTCAAACCAGCTTAGTTTCCTTCTGTGACATGGTAACAGGCCTTGCAGGTAGGGAAAAGCCAAATTTAATCAACTTCAGGAAGATTTCTGATGCCGTATCACACAGCATTGTCAGAAGCAAATGAAGGAAACTGCTCTGAGGCCAGCAAAACTGACTGGGTCACTGCTGAGAGTTAGCAGTGAGTCACTGTCACCATGGAAAGATATATCACATGGGGTCTGCAGAGACTCCCTTAGGTCAAGGGTTATTCAGTATTTCATTAGTCAGCTGGATAATGAATAAGCGAAGTGGTTATTTAAGATGTAACATCAACCTGGGAGGTTATAAGCAATGCTGGGGGAGAGGACTAGAATTCTAAATCATACAGACAAGTTGAAAAAAAGGGTCTAAAAACAGAATAAAATTTGATAAGGATGAGAACAAGGTGCTACACTTCATCAGGAATAATCAACGGCTCATATTTAGAA